GGGGAGGGGAGGGGGGCGGTGCAAGGGAGAGAGACCCCCTTTCCCTGGGTTTATTTGGCTTACTGCTGTCGGGTTCTTTGAGTGCGTGAGACGCACTGCCTGGTGTGTGGGGGGGGGGTCGTTCCTGCAAATGGCACTTAAGGCCCCACAAAGCACCTGAGGACGGCCACGGCTGCTACTTAAACAGCGTTCAGCAGCAGCACACACCCGTGTGTGAATTTGGGCGGGGCTTCATTTTGAGCCATAGCATGCAGAGCCGGTCAAGGGTGACCTAAACTCACGACCTTCAGGTCACGGCTCTGCGATTCTCCCTTGAAAAGTGTCGGCAGGCTGCGCTCTCTGCAAAGCCTTTGGGGTTTATAGGCTTCGGAATAAGATTTGGCCACGAAGGGATCAGATCATCGAGATGACGCCCTTCATTATGGTGGACCTGTGACATCACTGTCCTCGTGGTCCAGGACTGAAGGTTAGGTCACCTGTTAGTAAATGGCGGTAAGAGTGAAAAACCAGTGCCCCCTGCAGGACTGGGAACACCACTGCTGGTATCAGGCCCTTGTGTGAGAGGAAACCGTCTCCAGCCCTTTGTTACATTCTGTCTTTCAGGTTGTCAGCAGAGCAGGTTTCATCGTGCCTGCGGGAGCTGAAGGGACCATGTGACACCATGTGACATCGAGCGAAAGCTCCAGGTCTGTTTGTATGATGCCTGAGGAGCTGAGAGGGGCGGCAATGTGTAATGTGTGTGGTACTGTAGTGTTCATTCAGCAGTTAGCAGCGATGCGGTGCTGTGCGCCCTCTGCTGGCTAAATATTGTTTTGCACCCCAGGTTTGTTTACCAGTCACTTTTTTAGTTTTGTGACTGATACATACACTTTATGTGTGTGCAGTGAAATGCTTATTTACTCGCTCGAAAGGAAGTATGCAATTCATAGAAAAACAATAGAAAAAGATAAATAAAAATAAGATTCAAACAAAAATATAATAGAAATAAATACAATAAAGATAAAATAAGCAGTGACATCAACTATATTTTCTGTATTTACATAAGACGGTTTGTGAGGACGATGTCAGTTGAGAATTGAGGTGTAAAGTGTATTAAAGTTGCATGATGTGCAGCTTGCTTTGTGTTCCTCTCGTAAATATTGTGCTGGCATTTGCATGGCTCAGTATGAACCTTAATTAATTAATTTGCCTTTATTTATTAAAAGCAGATTAGGGAAGCTGTTATTTAATGTATTTTTGAAACTGTACACATACTGTGTCAATGATGAACCTGGGAAATCAGCTGTAAATATTATTAGAGACTTATTATGCTGATTCATCCCCAGGGATTCTCTGTTTTAACACCCCCCCCCCCACACCGCCACCACCATCTGTACCTACAGCCTCTGGCCACTGCCTGGTTCAAGTAATCCAGGATAGGCTGTTTGCGTGGACCCGGCCTATTCTCGATTACTTGTCCCAGGACACGGCTGCCTGCGTCTGAGTGTTGGCCGGATGGAGCTGCTCGGCCCAGGAGCCTTTGGGCTCCTTTCAGGGGGGTGTGGGGGGGCTTACAGCACTCTCATCTGTGTCCTCTTCTTGTAGGGCATGTGCAACGTGACGTGAAGCCTCATGCCTGTGAATGGTTGTCTGGCGTATGTCCTGCAGGGGGCGCTCTGTGTGAGTTTCTTTAGCAGATGTGGGGCTTTTTGTGTGTGATTTACAACATCAGTCCAGCAGAGAGCCCACTGTGGCTACAGCTGCCCCCCCCCTCCTCACATTCACTGCCCTGTGAGCTGACCCTCATGCCCTCTGCCCTTTAGGTGCCCCCAGCGGCCCGGATCCCCAACCTGAGAGTACCTGGCCTGACCCAGCTGCTCAACATGCTGCCTGTCGCTGAGGACCGGAGCCCCGTGGCACCGCAGAGAGGAGCTGTCAGCCATTTGGCATGAAACGTCACTGGCTTCAATGTCAGCCGTCTTCTTAAGATCTTTGAGGGGCAGCCCATCCAGCAGGGCTGTGTGGAAATTGTCCCGCCTTAACATCTCCCACCTCCCTGCAGCAGCATGGCGTCGAATCTTGTAAATGAGAGTAATAGGAGAGCCGTGCTGTCCCGGCAGCAGATGGCCTGGCTCAGCGAAGCCCTGCGCCCTTTTCAGAATCTCTTCAGCTTTTTAATGTGCGGAAAATACAGCTGTATATGTAACACATATGGGCTGAAGCTGACTTAAGGTGACTAAAAAAAATTGGGTCCGGAGGGCCTGTCTACTCGCTTGATACCAGCCTGGCTTCAACACAATGTTTAAATGGGGTTAGGGTTCAGCGATGCTTTTAATTAACTATTGGAAGTGAGTAGCACTAGAAGCACCTTGTGGAAAATGTGATGTATTAAGGTGACCTATAATTAAAGTGCTGTTCACATTTGTTTTGTTTTTCATCTTTTGGGATTTTTATTATTTAAAATGTGACTTTTTACAGTTCTGGTAGTGAAATTAGGCCTCCTTTTTTACCAGTACTTCCAGCATGTTCTCTTCACTTTGGTTACCTCATAGATGTTCTGGTGTTCAATTCATTATTTTCTTTATAGCACCGTTCACAACAGTGTCACCCCCAAGACACTTTTAAATGGTGTGTTGTAATACAACATCATTAAAGCAGAGTAATATGCAAAAACAGGGAAAATAAAGAAAAGAATGAAAGAAAAGCCAGATGACAATGGAGGGGGGGGACCAAAAACTCCCAAGCAGGGAGAAAAAAAACCTCTGGGGGTCCAAGGTCATCTGGCTGCCCGACCCCCCCTGGGCATGTTAATATTATATAAAGAGTGGACTTGCTTGCCAAACGCAAGGTGTAAACTATGATTAAGGTCAAGCTAAAGTCCATCAATGAGTCAGATCTCCACACTGGCCTGTGTAGGGTGGCAGATTGAAGGCTGCACCCACAATGTTACAGTTTGTGGGTCACATGCATAAAATGAGCCTCTATGGGACTGAAACAGGACTCCGGCTCGGATGGTGTCCACCCCAGACACCATCTAGACATGTAGGAAGGCCGAGAGCATGGATGGTCAGAACATGCATTGACACGTTACTGTACAATGGAATGTGCAGCAGCATAGGTGTTCCTGTCACCTGGCTTCACTGCTGACCCACACCATGAACCTCCCCTCCTTAAGAAGTCTGCCTTCCACAACTGGTCATATTTGCAGTGGCTGATCGAAGTTCATTCTCATACGTGAGGGACAGTATCGATAAGTGAGATCTGTCAGTCTCTACGAGATGTTCTCCTGGAGAAAACGGTCCCTGAGGTGTCTGGGAGACCTTCCAAAGCCTGACGAAGGACAGGAAACAGCCTTGTGAGATGAACGACAGCACAGTGTACTCTTCACACCATGAGGACACTGGAGTTTCATGGTAATCTGGGACACGCTAGATGTAATTTACAGTGTGGGGCTTATTCATATCACTTATCTGCCTCTATGTCAGTGACCTTGGTTCTTTCTGGAAACACTGATGATAGTTAAATGAAAAATAAATGACATTATTTCAACATCCCCAATGACTTATCCAGGTCAAGTTTGCCAGAACAGGGCATAAGGCTGCAGTACGCCCTGGATACGATGCCAGTCCATTGTCAGGTGCATACATACACGCTGCCAGAAATACTAATAAAGCTTTTTCTGTTTTCTCATTTTCTACCTAATTATACTACAAGCTTTTCTCATTTTTACAGGAAGGGTGGAAATTTAAGGGATATAGAAATAAACAGTGACATTTATTTACTTCTATTGAGAATTCAGTTTTTATAGGAATTCCTAAAAAAGTGAAAAAACTGATTCTAAAAATATTACTCTGATTTTTATTTGATATTTATGCTGGGATACAATTTATCATCTATAGTCTGTTATGAAGAAAATGCATTTGTATAGTGAGATTAATATAAGGACCAGCGTCATGCAGAGACATTTCAAGGGCCAGGTGCTGGAACAGGTGCAGTTTGCCGGGTGATGGGTAAATTGTTTCTGGGATGGGAAAGGGGCACTTTCAGAAGTTCGGGAAAACTAAGCAGCTGCTCAGGCACCCTAGCCCATCTCCTCTGCATGTCCCTGATAATGACTACTAATTCAGGGGAGGTCTTTCCTGTGCTAGATAATGGATGGGTGAATTTAAGTCAGAGGTGGCCAGTCTTTTCTGCAAAGGGCCAGTGTATATGCAGGTTTTTGGGATAACCTTTAGGTCAGATGTTCAGACTTTGGTGTGAGGACTCCAATCAGTCCTCTAATTAGTAATCTAAGTAAGGAGTTGCAGCGAAAACCGACATACACAACGGCCCTTTCCGGATAAGATCGGCCACCGCTGATTTAAGTGAATCACGTTCTCAGTGGCTACAGCACAGCACCTGTAACCATGTAGGGACATCAATTAAATCCGTTAATCCTCTAGATTTTTACATTTTAACTAGCATCAGATTACCACGTACACCAGCCTCTCCTGCATGCCGCGATACATCTGAGCCAGACTTTCATCAATGTGATGTTATTCAGATTAATACAGTGTGATTGAATAAATCACAAATACTATAGGATATCTATTCAGCTCTCGAAAACGAACCGTGGCGTTCAGCAACAAATGCGTGCGTTTAAACATTAGCTTTATGCTAACTTGATATCTTGATATTTTAATATGTAATAGTTATCTTACATTTATACGGAGACGCAATATCTTCCATGTTTCTCCGAGTTTCATCAGTCGCTGCTCACGCGTCACCGATGACGCGCCGTCCGCGTGACACAAGACTGAGAAGCTGCACGTAGAAGCGCGAGCACGCGGCGCGGGACGGCACGAGAGTGCGCGAGATAGAGCGACGCGAGCGGGCGTTGGAGGACTGCTGCGCTAAAACTGCCCAGAAAGAGCGATAAAACTGCGAATCCCCGCGCTGAAGGTGAGATGAGTGGCGTCTCTCTTTCGTCTGTGGTGAATGCTGAGGTCCGTCCGTTTTTGTCGGTTCTCCCGATGTCCGCCTGACGGGGTGCCGAGCCTAGGCCTGCTCCCAGGGTCTCCGCGGCCGACTCGACGCCTTTCCGGCTTGACGGCGGCCCACTGTTCGGCCTGCGTTCCGAACCGAGGCGTTCCGGGTGTCTTGACAGTCTTGTCTTAGTATTCGGACTAAGTATGAAAACATGACTGATCCCCCCCCAGGCTCGCTGACTTGGCTGTTTTATCTGTGTGTGTGAAGGTATCACCGCGGTTAACCATTAACTAACTTTACTATCCGACTGCCAGCCGTGTTTCGGCTCTTTCTAGCAGGCCCATTTCCTCTTCTTCGGGGTTTTATTTTGTTATGAAACATTCGTCACCAGTTTTAATGACAGCGTGTCCGATTTAAGGGTGGATTGATCTCTGCTAATGTTTTCTTTTGGTTGTTTGCAGGTACCGTGTCACCCCGATAACCAGCTGAAGTTAAGGCACCAGCCAAGATGAACGTCTTCGACCGGAGCATCAATTTCGACTCCCTGTTTAAGTTCTCCCAGATGTAAGCTTTTGCTCTGCCTGAATAGGAGTCAAAGCAACTAGAGCGAGTGCAATGGCCTGATCTGTATGTCAGTAGTGAAAGTGAAAGCTTGCTTATCTTAAATTTTTCGGCTGTCTCTATGTCCACAGTATAAACTGAGCTGACATTAGTGAGTCCTTCAGTCCCATTCCATTTGAATCACTGGATCAGGAACTGTGTGTGTGTTTGTTTCTGTCCAAAGGAAAGGATGCTGTGCAGACTTAATGGACATTAAGTTGCAGCAGAGAGACTCCCCCATATTCTGGGGATGACAAGCTGAGAGTTACTCTGTCACTTTTCAGCTCGCAGTCTGTCTGTGTGTACATGTACACAGTGCCTCTTATGGGAAATTTACACACAACATGGCTGTTTCACCACAGCTTGAGAGAACTGGGGGTTGTCTCACTACTAGTATAGCACTCACCTTGGTAAACCAGTAGGGTTACCTGTATGTGTGCAGATAAAAAAAAAAAAAAAAACTGTGTTGAATGGCAGCCTTATCTGCGATTATCATGTGACTGGCCGTCCCCCATGCGTCACCACCTCCTTCCCCTACCTCCTGCGTCCCTCTCCAGTTCCCACTCCACCCAGCAACACCTGAAGAATGTGTACTCCTCCCTCTCCATGTGCATGTTTGTGGCTGCGGCCGGCGCCTACGTCCACGTCGTTACCCGGCTCCTGCAGGTACGTCTCCACAGGCACCTGCTTGCTCCATCGTGTTCCCAAGGTGCACTGGGAGTTAAAGGTCGTGTTGTGACATGGATCGTACTTTCAGAGGCACCCTCTCCTTTTTTCCAGGGAGGGTTTCTGTCCCTGCTGGGCTCCTTGGGCATGATGGCCTGCCTGGCGCTGACGCCGCACAGCCCTGAGTCTGAGAAGAAGAGGCTCGCCATGCTCGCGGGCTTTGCCTTCTTTACCGGTGAGCTGGGCTCTTTTTAGGTGTTCTGCAGTCTGCAGGTGATGCTTCGCAATGATAAATGTCTGATATCTGGATTTGTCACTGTGGCAGTAGGATAACGAGACTGTTTCTCAGTTTCCTTTTCTTCATGACTCCAGGTGTCGGTCTTGGGCCTCTTATTGACTTTGCCATTGTCGTTAATCCTAGGTAAGACCCCCACGCACTAAGGTTGGGCGATGCACGATGCAATATCGAAGTGACATGCACAATAATCACCAGGGCTTCAGATGACGGGTGAAACATTTGTCCAGAGGTCAGCTTTTCAGTACTATGTGGACATTTATTTATGCCAACAATTTAAGCAGATCAGTTGTATGGCTAAAATATTTGAGATCCGTTTTATGACACCCAAAATGTAATAATTTGCAGGGCTACGTAAAATTAAACTGCAGTGTACTCTGAGGTCTTACAGACAGGAGGGAGGGAAAAATATGTAAACTTGGTGTATCTTTATGTTGATTAAATTTGTTTAGTGAGGCACACCACATAATACTGTTCTGGTATACTAAGGTGTGGTATACTTCCGTGTGATATGCACTGTAGCGGAGCACACCACATATTACTGTTTTGATGTGATATGCCGAATTTATACTGATTACTAAATTTTGGGTCATAAAATGCCTCATTAGTATTTTAGGTATACTACTAATCTGCTTAATTTGTGGACGTGCATAAATGTACATATAGTACTGTAAAGCTGGAGTCCGGCCAAACGTTTTGCCCGTCATCTGAAGCACTGGTGATTATTGCACACGCGCAAAGTAATATTGATGTGATACTGCCCAGCCGTACTCCGTACACAGATGCACATTTACACCGACATAAATGTCCATTTCAGTTTGAACTGAGTACTTCTATGCTGTGTTTACGCAGCATCATTGTGACTGCCTTCCTTGGAACATCTGTCATCTTCCTGTGCTTCACCTTGAGTGCCCTCTATGCCAAGCGCCGGAGCTATCTGTTCCTGGGAGGTGAGAACCGTCCACGGCTCTCTGTGGCCCCTGGAAAGTGCAGTCAGAGACTGTTTTCAAGGTTTTACCTTTTATATCTACAGCTGACTTAAACGGTTGAAACTGCCTTCCCCTCCAGGAATTTTAACATCTGCCCTGTCTGTTCTGCTCCTGGTGTCCGTGTTCAACCTCTTCTTCGGATCGCTGGTGCTTTTTAAGGTCAGATACGGATAGAGCCCGTGCCTTTTGTAATGGTGCTGCTCACCAGTGAGCAGGGGGCACTGCCCCTCATGGTGTATACTGTCTAACGCCGCCCCTTTCTCCACATGCAGGCTCACGTGTACCTTGGCCTGGCCGTCATGTGTGGCTTTGTGCTGTTTGACACTCAGCTCATCATTGAGAAGGCTGAGAATAATGACAAGGACTATATCTGGTACATGGCTCCCTCTTGCATTACCCAGAAGTACCTGGTGTTCCTGTAAAGGCACATGTGGCCTTCATCTGAGTATGCTATACTAGACAAATACCATGATTAAAAAAAGGAAATGGGGGAAATGGCTCATATACAGTTAGTACGGGGGGGGGGTGGCGAACGAATCTCATATTGGCCGGATTGACCATGTTAAACCATTTTGCTAAGTGGTTGAGGTTTGGTAACAAATGGGAAATGCCCCCTTTTCACTAAATGAGTTTTATTTGCGGTCTGATTTTTTTTTTTTTAGGCACTGTGTAGAGCTCTTTCTTGACTTTGTGACGATCTTCAAGAAACTCATGATAATCCTGTCCATGAATGAAAAGGTAAGTCCCTTTTTTGAGAATGGGGAACAGGAAATGTGTGTCAGTTTAAAAATGCAGGGTTCAACATGTTGGGTGATCGGTAGGATATTAGGGAATGAATGACATTAAATGCAGGACTTCTGGGATGACCTTATGCCGGACTCTTAGCAGTGCTACTATTGATGAAAATGGAGACTGACATTGAATCCTTTCTGTTTCCTCAAGGATAAGAAGAAGGAGAAGAAGTAGACAGATGAATCTCTAAATTAAAAGGTTAATGGCCAAGAATAGTGCGTGAAAGGCTTCTGGTGCATATACCCCCACTACTGGATTATAATTTGGATTTGTTTTCCTTATTTAGTGTCTTAATTTTCGGATGTGTAGGACTTTGGCTTTACAGAAAGTCTGATGTGTTCATGTTGTAATACCGGTATTGTCCAGCTGATGGAGTCGCTGTTTTGGAATGGGCATGTCTGTAGCTGGCAGTATCTGGTGTCTGGGCACCTCAGCTTCCTCCTTTACACTTAGGCTGGTTAATTTTGTGCTTCTGCTGTTTTCCAGGCAATTTGTTTAAATCCTTTGAACGTGAGTGGAAAATGCTTCACTTGACGATAAGACGATGTTAGCTGTGCCTTTTAATTTGGGAAAATTGGCAGAAATTTGCAAGCGTTCTCACCTCCGTTGTAGAAGTGTATATATTGCCATATGGAAGGGGGGCTTGGGGCAGGTAAGCTACTGGGAGAACAGGGTCTAGAGAGCTGTGGGGGGGGGGAGTGCAGAGCCCGTTGCCCGGCAGTACTGTGCCATCGGCTGTTTCCTGTTGATACTGTGATGTGCATTTGTAGATGTCCTGTGCATAAGCTGTAGTCTTTTCACCCCTTATTCCTTAGCAGTACATTGGCAAGGTACATTTAGTGTGGTTCAACTGAGCACATAATGAAAACGCTTTATGCTCGGATTTCACTCTTGAACGCTGCTTATTTCGTAGGGGCACAAGGCTGTGGAGGAATGAGGGTCACTCTCCTGGCCACAGGGTCGTGTATCTGTCCCCCCCCCACCCACCCCCGCTCTGTGTGTGCCATTCTGGCTGAGCCCTTCATTGTCCCTGATTGAGATGCTGCTCACTTAATAGCCAGCACTGTTAAAATGTAACATTTTTCCATAACATGAAGTGGTGATTCTTTCTGTTAATCAATGGATAAAGGTATATCTGGGTACTCAAATTTCTTTTCCCTCCCATTTGATGAGTTTAAAATTCAATACCAGTTTATAGTTTAAAGAACTTAAAAGAAACTGAAGCAAAGCCAGCAAATACAGTTCTGAAAGCATGGTCCCAGAGACCTTGCCCCAGGGAGCTAGAGGCTGATCACATACCATTAATATGCTGGCTTTTCTTACGTTTCTGTGTGCTGTCTTCAGAGGAATGCGGGCCTGTGGTTATGCTGAGCTTTTTTTTTTTCTGTGTGCAAGATGTTGAAACTTGAGTTTGACCTCCTCCTCTCGGGCACATTGACCCTGAGGTCTAGCCTACTGTCCCCATACGTGCCATAAGTATCTCTGTTTTCGGCGCTAGAGAGCTAAATGTGGCCAGCACGGCACAGACCTGTCCATGAGCTGCAAACACGCAGCGGTCACCCAGCTGATGGTAGAGCACAGCTCAGCCAGCTGCTTGCTGCACTGGGTTTTTAGCCCGCATGGGCGCTCTGCTGATGCGGAGTGCAGCTGAGCCGCTGCCTGACAGGTTGCTCCCTTTTCTTTCTGCCAAGGATTGTTGTACTTTTGCAGACTGTAATGGAAAATTGTTTAAATAAACTCAGAAATTATGCATTGGCTCGTTCATTCTCTACTTGTACGACAGGTAAGTTTTTCATGATAAATTTATTCTAGATTGTGGTAGCTGGTGTCATTGCGTTGTGCTTGTTGCTTGAACGATAAAATGCATTTTGTCGTACGTAAGGTGCTGCTTAAAAGGCTGCAGTTGGTACTGCCAGTGCCTAAACATTAGTGGCCGCAGAGCTGGACTGTCTACGATCCGAAATATTTTTCTAGCAACAACACAACCGGCAACCACGTATTTTGATGCCAAGCCTGGGGTAGCGCTGTAGAGCAAAGCTGCTTTTGAATTGCATTTATAATGTGTGGAATGGATGTTATGAAAATAAGAATTTTACTAGCTGAAATAAAATATGAAAATAAAACTACAACTATATAAGAACTATAAATATTGCTTCCAAAACAATATAAATAAACTTTAAAAACTTAAAATGTGCAATACTTCCTGTTAGTACGGAGCCCCTAAGGGGACAAAGGAGGAGGAAAAAAAAATGGCAGGAGAAAAAAAAAAAAGTCATGTTTTGCGTTATAACCCAAAACTTTTGCATTATAACCCAAAACCTTTGCGTTATAACCCGAAACCTTTGCATTATAACCCAAAACCATTGCGTTATAACTCAAAACTTTTGCGACATAAGGCAAAACTGTTGTGACTTTGAAGTGGAAATATGAGTAATCAGTCAGTGTAAGGAACATAATTGATAGGAAAACATGGAGCGTTTAATCGAATTTTACTTTGATCTTGGTCTACAATATATGGACATTCAGTTTGTTCTCGGATCTAGGCATGATGTTCACATAAGTCTGAGGCAGATTAATAGGATTTTATGTGAAAGGGTATTATTCCAACGGAAAAACTACTCCGACTTGGGTTGATGTAATTAACTTTATTTGTGAGCAGCTTTTGCACTCTGGGCAGCTTCATGGTTATCGATGGATGTATGCAAAATGCAGAATAAATGGACTTCATGTCAGAAAAAAGCATTTGATTTATATTAATTTATTATAAACATGAAACAACAAAAAACGAACAATTCTTTAAGCTTAAATCAACCTAATCAGATTAGCATTAATTAGCAATGTTACTGAAACGTACATTACCAAGGCTTGCTTTACAAATTACTAATTATGAATTAAACAATCAAATCTTACCACACTGAACTCAAGTTTTTTTAACCGTTAAATTAGATTAATAAGCGAAGCGGGGATCAACCACGTCATGCAAACTGCGGCTTTGGAAGTTGCACTCGAATGACCAAAAGTACGCTAGTCACCTGATCTTATTGTTGCATTACTACGGAAAAGTTTTGGGTTATGTCGCAAAAGTTTTGGGTTATAACGCAAAACATTACTTTTTTTTTTTTTTTTTTTCTTCTGCCGTTTTTTTTCCTGCTCCCTTGTCACCTTAGGGGCTCCGTATGTTAGCATAGCAATGTTATGGTAAAAAACTATTTAGCTAAAGTAATGATTTTTATTTTTGATCCTTTTGTGCCCTTGAACCTTAGAAATGTCCAACAGCATTACATTACATTGCAGTGCTCAGAAGAAGCCTAGAACTTTCCATCTATCCCTAAAAATAAAATTACTAAAACCTAAAGTAAATTATGTAACTAATTTACATCTAGGGAAAAATGAAACCACAACAAAAATATAAATTAGTTTCGAATGAAAATATCAAAATGACACAAAAGCATAGGTGGGGTATTACCATAGGAACATTTTGTTTGTAGCCATTTCAGAGTCTTTATAATCCTGTAGCAAGAAATGAAATGTTGGTACTTCCAGACATTCTCAGTAAACTGTTCATCAAATACGCTATTATGTGGTTATTTTGGTCATGCGTAGAAAAGACGTTTTGTATAAAATCTTCGGTCTGACTACTTTGTGACTTTTTGGCTTCCTGCTATTTTCCCTATGGCCAACGCACAATCAAGCTTCACTTGAATCACTGAACAGAGCCTCTGTGTTGTGATCGTTTTCAGGTGTTGCGCTACCTCATGTCACCACTACGTGGTGTCCAAGGGTGGCCTCTTAGAACATTACAATATTCATAGTCAAAATTCATATATGAAGTTAACCTTAGTTTCAACATCAGATTATTCTGTATTGATAAATTTAATTCCTGAGATGAAGGTACACTGTAAAATATCATGGATATTGAATGATCCCTGTGTGGCTGCAGCCCTGTGGACACGGCCGACGCCACACAGCCTTGCGCCCGGCCTCAACGAGTCCGATTCAGCTGGATACATGTGCAGCCAACTGTAAAGCTGAACTTCTGAACAACCAGACGGTACCGAGTTGTGTTGCTGCTGTGCCGCCGATAGAAGACTGGCATGGTCATGTTCACTGGAGTCACCACCAGTGTCGAGTCATTTAGGCAGGTCTTTTTGTCACATTTGGCAATGAAGATGGTCTCTGGGATCCTGTCGGTAACTTTGTGTTGTCTGAGGAAAGATGAGAGTTCGTCCTTGTATCATTGTGTGTCATCACCAGGAACTTAAGGTCTTATAAAATGTCAACAGTACCAGCTAAATACAAATGGATGTCCCATACCCCACCCCAAAAAGGAGACCAGAAACATTCTGGGGCCACGTTTGAACACTGGCCCATCTCATTACATTGTGCGGCATGTCATTCATGGACTTGTAGTGAGACTCACATGTATGTCCAGGGGGCCACCGATCTGTTTGCAGTCTTCCTGTCTACGTGCAGGCTGAGTGTGGTTCTGTACGGTATGCATTTCCCCAGCGATTCAGGCGTGTGTCCGCCTGTCGGGTGGCAGTCTATACTCTGCAGTACAGATGGAGATACGCACAGCAGCAGTACCTGTGTGAGCAGGATAGAAAACCAAAAACCTCAGACTCAACAGATAGATACCCAAGACGCTTCTTCACGCTTCTCCTCATCTCATTCATTACTCATTAATAGTATTCTGGAGAAAAATATCCTTATCAATCAGAGCCAGTTGGTTTTGTTTAATTAGGGTACCAATCCATAAGGTCATGACTGTTTCTATGAGATGCTTTGATTCACAGTTTACAGCCATCTCATTCAAAGTTAAGTTTTAACTATTTTTATTTGAGCATTTTAGGATAACATCCACGCCCTCCTAGTACGTGTACCAGCAGCCTTCAGATCTCAGTGAATAAAGATGCTTCTGTAAAAAGTTATCTTTTCTCTCTTAGTTTTCCTGGTGAATCGCAAGAGGTGTTTCATGCAAGCATAACCAGTTCCAACCAATCAAATCTCTTGGCACAGTTTCTCGAACAAGTAGAGGACACTCACCAGCAGGGGCTCCAAGGCGTTCATTCTCTGTCCAGGTTTTTTCTCCAAAGGGCAGACGACAGTTTGGTCTGACTGCCGCTTCCCACCTCAGTAACATTTATATGCTTTCAGCAGTCATGACCTCAGTGATGCTTTGCATGAATTCATCTTTGTTTTGCATTTCAGTACCACATGTTCCATGAATCATTTTCATTGTTTGCCATCCTGGGAGGGGAAGGTGGTCTTAGACTTCTTGTCCTGTTAAACTGCTAACGCCCCTGTCATTTGTTACTTAGCATTGAGAAATATTTTTATTAAAAGTGAATCAGTCAAGTTTCATTGTTGCATATTCTTATTGTAGCTGTAAGCAGGGGCGCCGTAAGGGGGAGGAAAGCTAGGACGATTCCAAGGGCCCCTGAGTGACAGGGGCCCTAAAAAATTTGGAAAATAACTGGATTGGTTTGGACTGGGGGGCCTAATATGATATGCTTTCATGGGGCCCAAAATCTCTAGCAACGCCCCTGGCTGTAACGCAGACTGAAATGGTGTATATTTCTGAAGCAGCACACAGAATGGAATGAAGCTGTAGAAATGGATGAACTCAAATTTGATTTACACACTGGTGTAATGAATGCAGTGTCTCTGTAAACATTTTAGCAGGCTGTGTTAAGGTGTACTCACACTAGGTGATTCCCAAGCACGTCTGAAGTCCAGTTCCTTTGACTAGTGCAATTGCTCCATACTGTGCACAACCACGGCATGCTGAACCATGCTGGATCTGCTTGAAAAGGTGGGTCTGGGCATAGTTCAGTTGGATTTAGTCCTGGTACGCATTTAGTATGATCACTAACCGTGCCTGAACACAGAACACGGACATAACATCAATGATGTACAGTGGTGTGAAAAAGTATTTGCCCCCTTCTTGATTTATTATTTTTTTTGTATGTTTCTCACATGCAAATGTTTCAGATCATCAAACAGATTTAAAAATTAGACAGATGACACAAAATGCAGTTTTTAAATGAATGTCTTAAGGAATTGAGATCTATCAGTCTGGAAAAGGGTATAAAGCCATTTCTAAAGCTTTGGGACTCAAACCACAGTGAAAGCCATTATCCACAAATGGCGAAAACATGGAACAGTGGTGAACCTTCCCAGGAGTGACCGGCTGACCAAAATTACCCCGAGAGTGCAGCGACGATTCATCCAAGAGGTCCCAAAAGACCCCAGAACAACATCCAAAGACCTGCAGGTCTCACTTGCCTCAGTTAAGGTCAATGTTCATGACTCCACCATAAGACAGAGACTGGGCAAGAATGGCCTGCATGGCAGATTCCAAGACAAAAACCACTGCTGAGCAAAAGGAACATAAAGGCTTGTCTCAGTTTTTCTAGAAAACATTTTAATGATCACCAAGACTTTTGGGAAAATGCTCTGTGGACTGATGAGACAAAAGATAAACTTTTTGGAAGGTGTCTGTCTTACATCTTCCGTAAAAGTAACACAGCATTTCAGAAAAGGAACATCATACCAACCGTAAAATAAGGTGGTGGTAATGTGATGGTCTGGGGTTGTTTTGCTGCTTCAGGACCTGGAAGACTTTCTGTGGTAAATGGAACCATGAATTCTGCTGTCTACCAAAACATCCAGAAGGAGAATGTCCGACCATCTGTTCGTGCCCTCAAGCTGAAGTGCACTTGGGTTCTGCAGCAGGACAATGATCCAAA